GAGAAACTTTACACACTCACACGACCCCCAGCCCCGTGCCCAGCCCCCCCCCCCCCCTCGGCAGTGTACTCACTTCTTGTGCCAGACCCTCAGAACGCACCAACATCATTCTGCATTTTAACAGCAGCTGTGAAAATGGAAACTGAACCTAGAGCTTTGCGTGGTCTCGTTTGGACGAAGGAGTAGAATTATCCTCTGTGCAGCGCTGGAAGCCCACGAAGCTAGTTAGTGTGACCGCCGCCATTGTTGTTGATGTTTGTTCTCCGCTACTGCGCATGTCCAAATTTACGTGCGGGGAGCAACGCGGAGGTGGGGGTCAGAGCAGAGGGGGATTTCACACCTTTTCCCTCTCGCGGGTGTGAAAGAGAGCCCCCGCTGTGCAGCGTTTCTGAGTTGTCCCACTCTGCAGGCTGGATCTGAACACTTACGTTTTCACCCCCCTGGAACACAGTCTCCGTATGAAAGGTTGGTAGAAACCGACATCCAACTATACCGTTTTACTGCCACATTGTCACATTTAGTGTAAACACAGCCTAAGCCCACCATCCCATTGTCATCACAGACAGAACCAGCTTTATAAATGTATCCATCCACACAAAGCGGAAGATGAATCCAGTTCACCTGAGAGCAGAGTCACTTTTCACTCTGAGGTTCCAACTTGGAGTCGAACCCAGGAGTGCAAACCGCTCTCAACATTTCAATATAGACACATTGCATGCAACATAACATAAGTCAAGCCTTTGGTTGTTATGATGCTGATGATTATGGCTTGCAGTCCATTTTCTAAATATTTTATTTTTGGGTGAGGGGTTTTTACAGACTGTGAGCCAATTATCAACAAAGAAAGCCATGATCTTATATATCTCACTCTGCGTGTGATGACTGCCATCATTATTTTCACATTGTAAATTAAGTTACAGATTTAAATGGACTTTGAAACAATCTTCTAACCTGTATCAATGTTGTATTTACGTTCAGGTCAAACCATCTCTATGTGGTCTAATTTGAAGAAGTCTGTTATCCGTCCCTCAGCGGGAAACCTGAGTGCAGTGTATACCGTACATCAGGAAGTTTCTGTGTGAAGAATGATGTCATCTATACATATCCTGCACATATTTTCTCTCTTTGTGATAGAAAATGTGATTTTCCACCGCCTCAGCAAACATAGCAGATTAATTAATTCTTGGTGGCGAATGTGCCTTGAGCTGGGAACCCTCAGATCTGTCAGATGGAGGAGGGGGACAGTGATGATGGATCAGGGAGCAGCCCCCTCTCCGTCTCCTGACTGAGGCGCAGATTGCCTGGGGATGCTCGCCGGGCCTCCTCCATGCCTCACCTTGATCAACATTCAGCATTGCCCCTTGAATCCATCAGGCCCCATGACAGCACGCCCCATTTTCGGCTTTTTATATCACTGTGGATGATGTGGTGGCGGCAGCTGGTCCTGGTGATGATGATGATGATGTAGTGTGGCTCTCAGGAATGCATTGAGCACCTTTTATTGAACTTGCATCTTGAGTATTTTGGACTAATAAATAAATGGTTTCAGTCATCATTTAGAGGCTTGTCGTGGCTCGAGCGGCTGAATAATGTACAACACAGATGCGTGACCTGCAGCAATGACAAGAGCCGGCTACATTTACATCGGAATAATCACATTAAGGGATGTCCTTCCCACGTCCTGTCGGCAAATCAATCCTTCAAGACTCTATGGTCTCCGTCTGATCTCTCTCTGGTTTCTCTCTGGTCCTTCTCTCTCTGGTCTCATGCTGGTCCCGCTATCTTGAAGACTCATCACACAATTATTCAACACTATGAAACAATTATGAAACTACAAGAACTCCCAGGGCCGTCATTTTGACTGTTCCCATCCAAACCAACGGAATTCTGAGAAATTTCCCAAAACTGGTGAACATAGTTTAGAAAAACCGTTTGTTTAAAGGCTAAATGCTAACGTCCAAATTCTAACTGTTGTCAAGTAAACAGTGTGTTGCTTTGGCAATGGAAACACACTGTTTGGTGGAAAACCAAGCTGAACCCAAACCAGTCCAGGACCAGTTCAGGACCAGCACCTTGAAGTGGATTCAAACAAAGTCTTATTGCTGCAGGTCTCTCTCTGGTTGCTCTCTCTGGTCTCCCTCTGGTCTCTCTCTGGTCTTTCTAGTCTCTCTGGTCTCTCTCGGGTATCTCTCTCTCTGGTCTTACATCCTTCTGAATTCTAATGAAAAATCCCTTTGTTGTCGATGACCATAGAGAAGTCTGTTTAAACTTTTGGGTGCAACACTTTATCTTTTGCAGCAGCACACATCTCTGGAGACAGAAATACACACGACGCTCGTTTTTAGGACCAAAACAACTTGGAATAGCACCACATTTTCTCTGTAAATACTACTGACTTCAAAGTTTGGAGTTGTTCCCATGAGTCGTCGCTCCCTCTCTGCTGCATGGCACTGTTCCCTGCCGTTGAGTGCTTTTATTTGATATTACACTAATGAGATTTCCCCACTCAAAGCATATCCTCTTGTTGCGGTCTAAAGGAAGATGTCGTTTATGTACGTAGCCAGCAATGATATTTGTTTTGCATATTTACATAAGGCACAACCACACTATCTATGTGTTTTCCAAATGCCAATGTTTTATTCATGTTTCACAATCATTTCACTTTTCATATCCTCTGCAACTTGAAGTGTATAGAGTGACAGAAAGAGTGATCTGTGTGTTATTGGCAAAGAGGAAATACCATTCAAGTTTGCGGCACGTGGACGACAGCTTCACCGCCTGAATACAGTTACTCAATCAAAAACATGGATTACTGTCTGTCTGATGTTTCTGACGGAGAAGAAATAACCAAATTATGTTTTAGCAACTTTGATTTCTATGGAGATGGTGTGCATAAAATGATCAAATCTGTTTTTTTTTTTCACCATCCTGATTGAGAGCGCAATCACACAGATGTTAATCCTGTAACAACAGCATTCTCTTGCCATTATCGCTATGAGACTGGAATAATCATATACCGGCCAACCCTTTAACTTAAAACAATTTTTCAGAGTTTTGATTTTTGTGCAGATTTGCCAGTGACACCCTGTAAAGCTCTATACGGAACGCTGTAGCTTAGGGTCCGACATTGAATAATCAGATAAAGCAATGGCCATGACAGAGAAAGTTGAGTTTAGACACAGTAATATATACAATTAGCCTGGCCTTAGCCATCCGTACACTCCGCTCAATCATCATTTCACTGCATGTAACGTCTGGGTCTGGTCCCCATGTTAGCTATTACAATCGGTTGAATTTCGACCGACCAATCAGAGAGCGCGGGAGGCGGGTGTTGTAGTTAGTTGTGGGTAATGTCCAGTCTGGTTCTATCAAGAAATTGAAGCCGGAGCAAGAAGAATGTTATCAAATGTAATCGCTGGAAAAATTGTGGCGCTACTCCCCACGGGTAACCTGGCAAGAGCCAGATTGATGATTGTGTAGAACTCTAACGCGTTCTCCACGATATCAATCTGGGACTTCTGCAGGAGAATCCTTTCGGGGAAAGGAGGGATAAGCAGCAGAATACTTCAAGCTGATTGGGCGAAGTGACGCTGTGTGCCCGCCTACCAAGGTTTGACTTAAACCAATCCCGGTAACATCTTTGCCGTCCAGAAATGCACAAAGCGCCTCTCGCTGTTCATCTTTCAAAAAAGAAATTGGAGATACTGCTAAAACTGACTTGATAGCCTCAGCTACGCGTCCGTCCTCCTGCGTAGCCATGTTTGTTTTGCTTCGGCCCGGCACTTCTTGCTTTCGTCAAACCCGGATATCCCGCCCTAAACCCCCAGACTGGCGCGTGATTGGCTCGCACACCCAGTGGTTCGACTCGAAAAGTGTAAGCGGGAGCGGTACAAGATGTATTCTCGAGTGTTTGTGAACTCACAAATACCGCGAGAATTCAGCTTGCAGGCAAGGTTACCCCACGGGCTCCGTTAGCGGCAAAGGAGATGGCTAAAGCTAGGCTAAATGCTAAATGCTAACGTCTCACTCGGGCGCATTACATACGTCACGGTAAACTCAGATCCAATCGTTTCAATCTGCAATCTCCTGTGAGCTCAATGGAGCGCCTCCAGACCTTAGTACGAAATGTAATTTGTACTATGGTGTGGTACGACCAGGCCAACATACAATGAGCAAAAAACAAAACAAATGATTGTATAGATGCAATATATAATTACTAGAAACAGTCAGAACAATAAAACATACTGCTTTTAATCATTTTATGGACTTTTTCTAACATTTATCCACCCTTTAGCTATATGTTTTTGTCATTGTTCTATCTATCTATCTTGTGTTTGAACTTGATTCTCTGATCTGTGTTGGCGAATCAACAGCTTTAAAGTCCTCCCAGAAAAATACTGTTGTGATTTAGGGGCTACACTTTTGAATGCGCTGGAAACGGCAGCAAGTCCTAAGGAGCTCTGAAACCGTTATTTTTTTGTGCTCTAAAATTTTTATTTCTCTAGCTTGTTTTTACCTGAGATGTTGCTGCAGTTCAGTGTTCATGGTTTTACACTGGTCCAGACCGGAGCAGAGAGGATTCAACAACAAGGTCGGAAACAAGCGGATCGTGCAAAATTCCACCGGAGGAATGCTTTTGAAAAATGCTAATAAAACATATAGCCTTTTACTTGGGACTAGAGAAAATGGTCCGAACAAAGCGGCTACACCACCTCTGACCTAAAGTGCTGATGCATTTTAATACGGTTGTTAGGTATTTTTAGAAAAATATTTTAGTTTGTTTTGTTTGCATGGACGAATGAGTTTCTGCAGCTACTTGACACATAAATTTCTCTAACGGGGGGTCAATAAAGTATCTATTTATCTATCTAAACAAAAACAACTTGAATTGAATGGAATAATAACGCTACACACTGTCTTTACATAACCAAAAAGACTTTGCCGCTGTTTTCCTCATGGACTCCACTGTATCTCGCTCCCCAGAAATAAAGAACAGCTCTTCAAAAAGTGTCTCTGACGGTGGACAGGCCGTGTGAACCTTTACTCTCCCGGTGATTGACGTCCCAGTCCGGAACATGACAGCGCTCCGACGGGCTGGCAGCTGACGGATACACCCCTCTCTCCAAACCATCACTGTGAGAGCGACAGCACTCATCTCTAATATACGCCTGTCTCTGGACCTACAGGCGACATAGGGACACGTGTTTAAATATGTCGTTCATAAGTTTGCTTTTGAATGAGCTGGAAATGGCAGAGGGTGAGTGTTAAGTATCTCTGAAACAGTTGTTGTTTTGTGTGTTATAATCTTTTTTTATTTTATCTATTTCAGCTTTTTTTTGGCTGTTGTGCTTCGTCTCTCCATAGCCTCACACCAAAGTACATCCGAGACATGTTAGTGCCAAATGAACCAACTGGGACTCTGAGGAGCACAGGATCCGGCCTCTTGCTGGGACTCTGGAGCACAGGGCTGGGTCTCCTGCTGGGACTCTGAGGAGCACAGGGACTTTCAGATTCATGCAGATAGAATCTGGAACAGTCTTTCTGAAAGTGTGAGACAGACGTCTTCTCTGACAATGTTCAAATCCAGGTTAAAACAGTTTTGTTTAGCTGTTTATTTAAGATTTGAATGCCTTGTATTACTGTATATCTTGTTTTGTTCAGCACTTTGAGTTGCCTTGTGTATGAACTGTGCTATACTAATAAACTTGCCTTGCCTGAATGTTACTGCAGTACAGTGTTCATGGTTTAATCATGATCCAGACCGGAGCAGAGAGGATGCATAGTCCCGACCAAGCAGAACAAGCTGATATCCACTTGAGGAATGTTCTATTTTGTTGTTGTTGAAAATTGCTAATAAAACATTCAGAAACATCAACCGGAGGAAGCAGCTCATCACCAGAGCTACACCACCACTGCTGCTGTGACCTAAAGTGATGTTTTTACTGTGGTTAGTAACTTTTAGAATGATATAATATTTATTTGGTTGTATATCTGCATCTATCTGTCATACTTGCTGGAACATGTCCTGCAGTCCCCCCTCGTGGCTGACTTCCTGTCTGGGGCTCATCACTGTCGCGCTGCTGCTTGGATCATTCGCTCTCAGACACAAACTCTGAATTATGGATGAGTGAGCGACGCAGCGTTCATACATTTGTCAGATCTGTACAAAGTGTGTCTTTAAAACCCCGTCCCCTCGATGACATCTTCAGTTCACATTTCGTCACCTGACATTTGCACACATGGCTGATGACGGCCCTCGCTGTTCCCCGTCTCTAGATGTGGGCCAGGGCACTGTGCAGTTTGCAATTTGGGATCTTCAGATGAGAAACTTCTCCTAAAAGGAAAACGAGATACTGCCAAGACTGCCAAGTGCTAAAGTATCAAAAATGCTTTAGTCAACAATCAATGTTCTGGGTTGGAGCCCTGCTCTTGAGCCCTAGGCCCGAGGGGCCCGTCAGCCTCGACAGCCCGAGGACCGGGATTCGGGCCGATGACCGTATAATTATCTCGGACTCAAGCCAGGCTCGGGCACTTTCATTTATTCATTTTCAGAGCGACAGATTACGTTTACGAACCCACCCAATGAATAGAGCGCTCTGTATAGTATTGTCATTGACAACACATACAGTTACCTTCAAATGTGTTGTAGTTTTTTGCAGCATCTGTGTATCAAACAGGTGCGGCCGTTTACTCCGTAGAACTCATTGCAACACATCACTACCATGTCTATCTCTGCTCTCTAGCCGGGCCTGTGTTCGTATCAGTGCGCGGCACAATATACTACGCTAAAATGAGTGGAGTTTGCATGTTCTCCCTGTGTTAGAGAATACCGAGTGCTGAATAAATTCAATTCAATATATTTTATTTTTGTATAGTCCTAAATAAACAGTAGTAGCAGTATTAGTATCTTTGTGAAGAAATGCAATGATAAGGGAACACATGGAACCATTGGTCCATAAGGAGCGGATGGTACATATCCATAAATGTAAATAGATTATCATAACTTCATGAGTGTCGATAAATGTCCTGGATCATCAGTGTCCTTAGACCCTCCTGCAAACCTCTGGGAGGCCAACATTGAGGGAAAATCCTGTGAAACAAACATGACAATGGTAGTTTATTACGGTGTATTTAAAACTGTAGCTGTTCATTGACACTTTCCGCCTCATTTAGATAATAAACAATCATCTAAATTAATCTGATTAATCTAACATAATCTTGAATGCGGTGGCTGTTGTTGTCTTGCAAATAGATTCTGAATCTCGATGGATCTTAGTGACATAAAGGTCTGATAATAATCATTATATTCACTCCTTTTAGAATGTAGAATTTGAACAAACATTATTTTCAAAAATGAAACCATGCACTGGGGGTTTGCTGAAGCAGTAAAAAGCCAAACCATCGCAGCGGCTTCACTGAAGAGGTTTGTTTTGAAGCCTATGTTTGCATTAAAAACGGTAGCTTTCATTTGCCAAATAGGGCCTGCCTCTGTCTAGGCTCCCAGATGGCCAGCGCAGCCCCTGAGTGGTCCTGCCAAAGGGCCATTGAATTCAAATAAATTTCCATTACAGAAAAGTGGCTGACTCGAATAAATCATAATAAAAATGGGACTTGTGGCCTGTCATCTCTCAAAGATGGCCTACCTTGGGAAAGTGCAGAAATCTCTCCCATCAAATGCCCCAGTGAAGCAGAGAGGATGGAACAAGTGCAGAGGCTTCTGAGCCATAGGGAAGATCTTTAAAAGAGATTAAAATAGTGTGCACTTAAAAGGCGACTGCATCTGCCAAGTCTGCATCTGACTGCATCCAGAGTGAGACACAAGAGGAGCAAAAATATACTCATTGTGTTCATATGCATACAGTAAATATAAATTACATCAATGAACCATCATGAATATATACCAATGCACAAACCTCAACTTGTGATTATGAAGTGAGAAAAAGCAGTGTTCGCCAACCTTTCTGAACACAACAGTCACAGCTGGAACTGAGAGTCTTTATTAAAACTGCACTCTAAAAAAAAATGCATTGGCAAAACTTAATAAAATTGAGGCAGCATTTTGCATGCATCTTTTTAAGTTTTGCGAACAAGACTGTGTTTTAAGTATTCTTTGTAAGTCTTTTATCATTGGTCCAGCACAATTTTTCCAATACCACCAACTTGGATAATTGAGTTATAAAGACACTTTGTTAAGTATATTCAGCAAGTGTTTTAGCATCAGTTCAACTCAATTTTAAATAAATACATTGAAAATAAATCTTTTTGAGTATATTCAACGAGTGATTTTTAGTCAGGAATACGTAATCTTAATTCTAATATCATCTTTTACAGATTAGATTCACAAAGTGGTTCACAATTGTTACTTTTAGGCAGTAGTCTTTCACTCCACACACATATATGGAAGTGGGCCAGTACAGTCACCGGTAAACATGTCCACTTTAAAGTATTTGTTCAAAATTGGAGGACGACACAGGGAGTATAGGGCTGCTTTGGTTTGGCCCTCTCAATCATGGTTGATAAAAATAAATACAATTACTTATTTGGTCAAATTAGTTTATTCAGAATGTTGCTCAAGTATTTTGCTTTAGGACTTGCTTCATATTCAGTTTTAAAATTAATGCTCAAATGTAGAATTTTTAAGAAGTTTATATTTTTTGCTGCAATGCATTCTGGGTAGCGTCACTGCTTCGCCACATTTTGTTTTGAATCAACTCAATATATTTGTTTGGTCATTAATGGACCACCAGGCTTGCAAGAGGATTTTCATGTTGAGCAAACTCAATACTTCTCCGTTGTCCAGTTATGCCAGAATATCAAATTCAAATTTGTTACAAAAATGAGTTAGGATTCTTGTATTAACTTTTAATTGAGACCGGCATGTTTAAAATGAGTTGCAACCACACTAATTTAAGTAAAATAGTTCAGTATGTACCCCCCCTTGGACTGCCACCTTAACGTGGTGGGGGAGTTTGAGCACTCGGATGATCCTGGGAGCTATGCTGTCTGGGGCTTCATGCCCCTGGTAGGGCCTCCCATGGCAGACAGGTCTCAGGTGACGAGTCAGACGAAGCGCAGTCCGAAGCCAACCATGGACAGCATGACAACAAAAACCGTGACGTCGCCCGGCATGGCGCAGCCGGGGCCCCACCCTGGAGCCAGGCCTGGGGTCGGGGCTCGCAAGCGAGCGCCTGGTGGCCGGGCCTTAGCCCACGGGGCCCGGCCGGGCTCAGCCCGAAGGGATGACGTGGGCAGTCCCTCCTGTGGGCTCACCACCTGCAGAGGGGTCCGTGGTGGCGAGGTGCAGAGAGGACTGGGCAGCAGTCGAAGGCGGAGACCTCGACGACCCAGTCCACACACCCAACATCTGGCTCTTGGGACGTGGAACGTCACCTCACTGGGGGGGAAGGAGCCCGAGCTTGTGGGGGGAGGTTGAGCGATACCGACTAGAGATAGTCGGCCTCACCTCCACACACAGCTTGGGCTCTGGAACCCAACTCCTTGAGAGGGGTTGGACGCTCCACTTTTCTGGTGTTTCCCGCGGGGAGAGGCGGCGAGCTGGGGTGGCCATACTCATTGCCCCCCATCTCAGCCGCCACGTGTTGGAGTTCTCCCCGGTGAATGAGAGGGTCGCGTCCCTCCGCCTCCGGGTGGGGGACAAGTCTCTCACTGTTGTGACGGCCTACGGGCCTAACGGTAGTGCAGAGTACCCGGCCTTCTTGGAGTCCTTGGGAGGGGTACTGGACAGTGCACCGCCCGGGGACTCCGTTATTCTCCTGGGGGACTTCAACGCCCATGTGGGAAATGCCAGTGACACTTGGAGAGGGGTGATCGGGAAGAGCGGCCCCCCTGATCTGAACCCGAGCGGTGTTCAGTTGTTGGACTTCTGTGCCAGTCACGGTCTGTCCATCACGAACACCATGTTCGAGCACAAGGGTGTCCATCACTGCACGTGGCACCAGGACACCCTAGGCCGGAGGTCGATGATCGACTTTGTAGTCGTATCATCTGACCTTCGACCGCGTGTCTCGGACACTCGGGTGAAGAGAGGGGCGGAGCTGTCAACCGATCATCACCTGGTCGTGAGTTGATCCGCTGGCAGGGCAGGAGGCCGGTCAGACCTGGCAGGCCCAAGCGTGTAGTGAGGGTTTGCTGGGAACGTCTTGGTGAGCCCCCTGTCAGACGGACTTTCAACTCACACCTCCGGGAGAGCTTCTCCCAGGTCCCGGCAGAGGAGGGGGACATCGAGTCCGAGTGGACCATGTTCTCTTCCTCTATCGCCAATGCGGCGGCTCGTAGCTGTGGTCGCAAGGTCTCTGGTGCTGGTCCCGGCGGCAATCCCCGAACCCGGTGGTGGACACCGGCAGTAAGGGATGCCGTCAGGCTGAAGAAGGAGTCCTATCGAGCAATGATGGTTTGTGGGACTCCTGAGGCAGCTGTCCAGTACCGGCAGGCCAAACGTGCCGCGGCCCGGGCTGTTGCAGAGGCAAAAACCCGGGACTGGGCGGAGTTCGGAGAGTCCATGGAGCATGACTATCGGTCGGCCTCGAAGAGGTTCTGGCAAACCGTCCGGCGCCTCAGGAGGGGGAAGCAGTTCTTTGCCAACACCGTGTATGGTGCGGGTGGAGGGCTGCTGACCTCGACTGGGGATATTGTCGGGCGGTGGAAGGAATACTTCGAGGTTCTCCTCAATCCCCCCGTCACGTCCCCCGTCCAGGAGGCAGAGGCTGAGGATGTTGGGGCGGATACTTCCATCTCCCTGGCCGAGGTCACCAAGGTGGTTGGCAGCCTCCATGGTGGCAAGGCGCCGGGAGTGGATGAGATCCGTCCTGACTATCTAAAGTCTCTGGATGTTGTAGGACTGTCTTGGCTGACACGTCTCTGCAACATCGCGTGGCGATCGGGGGCGGTGCCAATGGAGTGGCAGACCGGGGTGGTGGTCCCTCTCTACAAGAAGGGGGACCGGAGGGTGTGTTCCAATTATCGTGGGATCACACTCCTCAGCCTCCCCGGTAAGGTCTACTCCAAGGTACTGGAGAGGAGGCTACGTCCGATGGTCGAATCTCGGATTCAGGAGGAGCAGTGTGATTTTCGTCCCGGTCGCGGAACACTGGACCAGCTCTATACTCTCCATCGGATACTCGAGGGTTCATG